TGAGAGTTTATGGATTTTTCAGTTGCTATCATGTTTTTCGTTCTCCAATCAAGCACAATAACCAGCTGTCTGCTAAGGACATTTCATCTCCATGTACTGCAGCACTCTGTTTTTCCTTTGAGCCATTCCAATTTTTTACTGATATATCTGTGAAGAGAAGCTGCCAGCAGCCTTGTGCTTTCTCATTTGTTTTTCTGCTATTTTCTCTTTTGAAGAAATAACATTTTCTTCTTTATAAGAAACACGAATTAGAACATATAGCAACTTAGGAGCAAGCAGGTATCAAGGACAGGTAGTAACTTTAGAGAGTAAGATTTCAAAGAGCAAACATTATCCCCATGGTAAAGTAGGGTTTTCCTAGAGCACATTACATAGGATTGCATCCAGATGGTTCTGGAATATTTCCAGTGAGGGACATTCCACAGCCTCTCTGGGAAATCTAGTTCCCAGATGTGATTCTCACGTCTAAACATTAAATCATCAGCAGTAATACAAGACTCCATTAAGAACTGATCATAGCACTCAGACACACAGAAATATCTGTCCCAAAAAACCAATTATAACTAAAAAAGAAAAGCTCCTCTGGAATGTCAGCAAGGACCGGGAGCAGGAACTCTGGATAAGAGGCAAAGCAAGGCAGGAGAATGCAAGTTGGCTTAATAATGAGCCCAAAGGCTTTGGAGGAGAAAATCATATTTGAACCAGCTGGGAAATGCCTTTTCAAAATCAGATTTGAATTAATGCCAAGCCAGTACTGGAGTGATTACAGAGGTCTTTAACACTCATGGCTTACTCACTTGTCAACTGCTTTCCAAATTTACCATTGATACACCCCAGCAACACAACATTCAGCCTGTCTCTGGCACTGGCGCTGATGATGTCAGAGGGAATTCAAAGCATTCTTTTTTAAGCATATTTTTCTAAAGATATAATTTTCTCTCTTTCTTATGTTAATCAGACCTCAACCCAGCAGCACCCAGAGTGTTGCTAGAAAGGGTGCCCAGCACTGGGTTGAGTTTGGCAGTGCATTTCTGAGCCAGGAGTTTAAGAGCTGGAACTCCCAGGTTCCTGGTATTTTTGCTCTCTGACAGCCTGCAATATAAATCATGAAGGATCCAGGAGAGAAAAGCAGCAGGAAACTAGACCCCAATCAGAGCTAACCATCCGTTAAATAAGGCTTTCATTTAGACAAATGGAAAACAATTGCATTAAGAGCTTCTGTGGAGCTGCATTTAGGTCTTCTCTGTAGGACAGAAGTCTAGAAATGTAATTTTATTTTGAAATAAATTATGGGATTTATCACACATACATAAGAAGCTGAAAAATACCCTATCAATTTTCTCTGAGACGTTGGCAAAAAAAAGTCATATGACAGAGCAAACTGAGAACTCTCTTGTCTTTGCTTCCCAAAAGTAACAGATTCTAAAGTTCAGTTGAGTTCATGAGAGAAATAATAGATATCAAGCTGGGAAAAGATTTTGTCGAAGTTACAGATAAGGCAAATGAAGAATATGCATAATTCTGGATATACCAAGAATAATGAGGCAGTTTATAGCTCATCTCCACAGAAATTCTTGCAGAGAACTCCCAGGGATCTCCCTTCCACAGGGTTTAGGTACTGTGAGACTCTGGTCAATGCAGTAACAATACAAATATATAGTTTTTCATAGAACTCATAAAGAGCCTAGGGACTAATTAAAACCATTATTTGACAGGTAGGAAATGGAGCAAATAAGCATTTATCTGAGGAGAAGAGAGCAGAAACCATAACACATCTTTTATAACAATAAATAATACAGCTGCAGAAGCAGCACCATTTTCAATTACCTAAGTAAAAATCTCCCCTCTCCTTCTTTCTACCAACTTTTTCTTTTCCGATTTTTCTTTGGATGCCAAAATTTTGAAAGTATCTATTTTTTCTTCAACTCATTGCCTTTTCCTTCAGCTCTTGAAGGTTTGTAAGAAGCAGTCCTCTGAACCCAAATCATAGAAGTAGATGAATGAAAAGGAACTATTTTAAGCTGGAGAAGGACTGAACTAACACTGACTGAACAGCACATTTCCAACACCCTGCCCTTCATCTGCATCCTTTAAATATCACCACAAAGTATTTACTTTGCTGTATGCTCATTTGATCAACACTCATCCCAAAAAAGCCCCATCATTTTTCAGCTATCATCAAACAGAAGAAACTCCAAATCATGAATGACTGATTAATTTCACAATCTCTAAAGCAAGAGCAGGATTGCAGTGGTGTAAATCCACACAGGCAGAAGATATTAAAGATGTGCATCTCTGCAAAATCAACCTTGATCAGACTTAGAACTGTGCCATGTTTGGTGTGTCCCATTCACTTTTAACCTTCTGAAAACTTGTGAAAGTTTTAAAATCCTTTCCAAGTGAGATCTTTTGTTATACTGAACATACTTTTGAGAACCCAAGATAATCAATCTACACGTTTCAAGGAAATAGGTTTCGTACCAAAGCAAGTTCTGCCATTGCAGAATGGATGAAATTCAATCCTTAGGTAACAGGAGCTGCCTACAAGCTCAGGATCTGTTTTTCTGTCCTGGCTATGGGATTTAATTAATTTATCACAGAAGTCTAGAGACATTTAACTTACCCCTGCCCATATTAGATTATAACAGTTGTCATCTCAATGGCTCTTCAGGCTCTGTTGGCAATATTGATCTCATCTCCAGTATTGATCTGGTCTCTGACAATTATAACTGGAGCTGAAGCAACGGGGGCTCAAATGATTGAATGAAGGAAGGGTTCTGGCAATTTGTCCATTCCTAGAGCATACATGATATTGAAGTTGGCTGGCAGCTACAAACTGACCCATGGAGGATTCAAATTCCTTGGAGGTGCAGATTGAGAAGTCAATGCTCAAAGAAGCATTGGAATTTTTTAACCTGGTATCTTAAAATGGCATCCACCCTTAAAGAACTGAATTGGCACCCCCTACTTTACCTGTCCCTACAAAAAAATTAAATTTAGGCATAGCAATATCGAATCTTAATCCCATCCTTTATAACTGCTAACATCAGTTTGGAAGTTATCATTGTAAAATTCTACCATATCAGATCTAGTTAAATCAGAAGTTCTGCATTTTATGTAAATTAAGTATATATTCAGTTTTTATAATGTTTACTCAATAGATATAAAAAAAAAATCTTACTTAAGTTGACTACATTTCAGTATACATTGACTACATTCAGTATAAGGCAGAAAAATAAATAAATTACAGGGGTTGTGCAACTCAGACTAAGGAGGACACAAAAAAGGGGAAAAAAAACTGAATAAAAACCATACTGTGGAAACCATAAAAACAGCTGCTCACACCATTATGTGTTTAAGTAAAAATGATGAAATTATATTAGCAACCTTCAGAGTGGTCATAAATGCCTGCAGGAATTTAAAGGTTTTCTCTCTCTGTAAATGCAGTCAGAAATAAAGTAAGAATGTTTCTGGTCCAAGGGCAAATTTCATCATTACCAAAACTCTGTGTACTGAAAAAGAGGCACCACAATAAAATGAGAAGCCACCACTCATCAATTCTTAAAGATTTTTTCAAAAGACATTTAAGGATTAGACCAGTATTGCTACTACAAAGCAAGATTTTGTAGGAAGAAACCCAGCAAGTTCTTTTCCACCATAGCCTCAACACCTGATATTTAATGTTCTCTTTTATAACTTCTAACCCCTAACACAGCAGCAAAACTTCACATTCATTCAAGCTTTCACAAGAACCTGTCAACCATCATTTCAAAAAACTAAGAGCCAAATAATGTTTTTCAATTCAATCAAACAGCTATTCCTTGAGGTGACTCTGTTACATGGAACAATGTCTTTGAAAAGCAACATTTAAGCCTAAACTGTAAAATGAAGTGACTGAAGGACTGAAGTTTGCACAACTGATACAGAATTCCATCACTCTCACAACTGTAACAGAACCAGTGAAAATAACAACGTTAAAGGTCTATCCTTGAACACCCTCTTCAGCATTATTTTGATGCTGATTCCAGCAAAATGGGATCAAAATGTGTCATCTGATACTCTGAGAGCAACCAAAGAAACAGCAAAGTAGAGGATGCTCAGTTTGACATATCTTGGCAAATATTTTAAATTTAAAACAGGTTTTTGATGTTGCTTTGGTCTTTTTCCCACATCCTCAAAAGGACATGACAATAGAACATCTGAGTTTTAATACACAACATTGGGTGGAGAATTTTCTGGGACAAGTTCTGTTTGTGCACAACAAAGGTTATGCACTGCCCGTTCACACCACGTTGAACAATCCAACACCTCTGAAACCCCTATCCAGAGAGTTGATTCTGTGTGAACAGCACTAGGGCTGAACTCACTACTTTCATGGCAACTGAGTATCTCATAGCTCCACCAGAAAGAGAAACCTTCAGTGATTTAATCCACACACCAAAAAGTCAACCTCTTGTGAATATTTATGGATAACATCCTAAAAATCAAACACAATGACCATCCCACAGGGGCAAGCATACTGAAAATTACCCATATTCCTGTTCAATATGAAAATCATTCTTGGGCTGTTTCGCATTTATATTACTCACCATTGTTTTCATTTTAAAAAGTATTCTACTTCCAAAGGCTAGCTATCACATAAGAAGAAGCTTTAATGCCAAATTCACGGGGAGCACCAAGTTTGCATTTATATTGCTCACTATTGTTTTAATTTTAAAAAGTATTCTACTTCCAAAGGAATTGCTAGTTATCACATAAGAAGAAACTTTAGTGCCAAATTCATGGGGAGCATTGAGTTCCTTGGCAGGTACAACATCACCCCCCATGTCCTCCTGATCATACTCATGAGCTTCTGATCATACCCAACTCCTGTCAAATGCTTAAAACGCATTAAAAACTTCAACAACTCAACCAGCTCGGCACAAAGCCACGCTAAAACATCTGAGACACATGAAAGCAGCTGCAGCCTCAGGAGGGCTGAGGTGCCCTTTGTCACTTACGTTGTTCATGTACTCGGAGAGCAGGTCCTGCAGGGCCTGGCGCACGGCGTTGCACTCGGCCACGATGCGCT